TATGTGTACATGTGTATATATGCCTGCATGTATTTAAGTGCACCCATGTTGTGCAATGCCTACGGAAGACAGAAGAGGGATGGGTGTTAACTGCCATGTGGGTGCTGGGAATTGAACCCGGGTCTTCTGCAAGAGCAGTCAGTGCTCTTAACCACTGAGCCATCTTTCCAGCCCCCTGTCTTTATATTTTGACACAGGTCTCCCCCATAGCCCCACCTGTCCTGGAACTCACTATGTAGACCAGGCTGGCCTTGAACTCACAGAAATCTGCCTGGCTTTGCCTCCCAAGTGCTGGGATTAAAGGCACACACCACTATGCCTAGCACACTTTTTTTTTAAATTATTATTTTTATCTTATGTGTATGAGTGTATTGCCTGCATGTATGTGAGTGTGCCCGTGTCGTGCAATGCCATGGAGATCAGAAGACGGCTTCAGAATCCCCTGGAACTGGAGTTAAGGACGGTTCAAAACTGCCATGTGGGTGCTGGGAATCGAACCCGGGTCCTCTGCAAGAGCAGTCAGTGCCCTTAACTGCTGGGCCATCTCTCCAGCCCCATTTTTCTTTTTTTTAAGTGTCTCACTATGTAGCCGGTTGGCCTGGAACTTGCTATGTAGACCATGCTGACTTCCAACTCACAGAGGTCCACTTGCCTCTGCCTCCCACATGCTGGGATGAAAGGTGTGCACTACCATGGCCAGCTCCCAAAGTATATTTTTAAAAAATACTGATTGGAGAGCCAGGCGTGGTGACACATGCCTGTAACCCTCTTCTGGCCTTAGCCAGCATTGTACCTACATACATACAAGAAAATACACAATAAAATAAAAATAAAATTTCTTATCATTGGGGAGTAGGGGCATACCACCACATATATGTAGAAGTTAGAGGATAGCTCTAGAGCCAGTTCTCTACTTTCCTTTTTTTGTTTGTTTTTTGAGAAAGGGTCTTCTAGTAGCCCTAGCTGGCCTGAAACTGGCTGTGTAGACCAGGCTAGCCTCGATCTCATAGAGATCTGCCTGCCTCTGCCTTCTGAGTGCTGGGATTAAAGGCGTGCATCACCATACTTGTCTGCATCCACCTTTATGTGGGTTCCAGGGATTCAACTCAGGTTGTCAGGCTTTTATGACAAGTGCTTTTACCCACTGAGTCATCTCATCAACTCCCATAAAATTGTACTTTAATAAAAAAATGTCAGGACTGGGGAGATGGCTCATTAGGTAAAGAGCTTGCCATGAAAGCATGAGGACTGAAGCTTGGATCCCTAGCACCTATGTAAATGTTGGGAACATCTGGTGTCCTGCTGTAATCTCAGTGCTCAGGAAGTAAAGTCAGGATCTTGTGGGTAAACTGACTAGCTGCACTAGCTGAATTAGAGATTGCTGGTTCAAATGAAGAGACCATGCCTCAATATGTAAGGTGCAGAGAGACACCCAATTTCAACTTCTGGCCTCCATACTACACCCATATGCACACATGTACAGGTACACCTGCACGCATACATGCACTACACACATATATACATGCAAAAAATGTAAATGAGGTTCTTAAATTTTTCCTAACATTACTGTTGTAATCTATAGCCTTAATAAGGTAAATGCAATAAATATATAATGGATTTCAGGACTGGGGATATAGCCTAGTGGTAGAGTGTGTGCTTAACATAGGCAAACCCTAGGTGCAATTTCTAGAACCCAAATCAAACAGCAATAACAACAAATCGATCTGGAAGACATTTCAATGATCAGTATGAGATGGCAAAACAGTAACTCTGCAAGCAGAGTGAGAAAGTAGAGATAAAAGTAAAACTGGGGTTGGGGAGATTGCTCAGAGGGTAAAAGTACTTTCCACACCAAAGTACATGCTTAACAAATGGGGTTCAGATCCACAGAACCCATATAAAAGCCAGACAAAGTAGCATAAGCATCTGTGATCCAAGTGCCCTTAGGGGAAATGGGAGCAGAAACGGGAAAGTCTTCAGAAGCTCCTGGTGTCAGCTATGTGGCTTACACAGTGGCAAAAAGACCCTGTCTCAAACAAGCTGGAGGGGTGAGGACCAATGCCCACAGGTGTCTTCTGACCTACACATGTGTGGATATATGCTTATATCCACACATGAACAAACACACACACAGTCAAACTGAAAAGAATTCATTATTAAGAAGTCTTCTAGGTCTAGAAACAAGTTTAGGTGAGGACAGAGAAAAAAACTAATGCCTTATTCAATGGATTTTTAATTATTTGATTATAAGCTTGAATCACAACATCTCAGAGACATTTTAACACAAGAAGGTTCTAAGAATAGCATTATTAAGATCTCATCTTATCAGGAGCTGCCCAGCCCTCCCACCACCACCACAAGTGCGAGGGATTGAACCCAGGCCCTCTCTACCTGAGGTATACTCCCAGCCCAAGCTGCCCAGTGTTACACAACAAGTTAAAAATCCAAGAAATTTCACTGGAGGCTGACTTTACCTGCTAGCTATTTTCTTGTTGAAAACGACAACCAAGTCAGTTTCAAAATGATGTAACAAGGCTATATTTGCATCTCTAAGTTTAAGTTGATCGAGAATGAATGTAAGATGCTGGGTATGGTGGTGAAAGCCCTTAATCCCAGAACTCAGGAGGCAGAGGTAGGCACGTCTCTGTGAGACTGAGGCAGGCCTGGTCTATATAGTGAGTTCCAGGCCAACTGGGGCTGGGGAGACCCTGTCAAAAAAAAATTACTGTAAGGGTTTAATTTCATCTTGCATTCTTATACAAATAGTCTAAAAGCTTACTGCTTTAGCGAGACTTTCATTTTCTGGGTATGTACAAATTAAAAAAAAATTTTTTTTGTCTTTTTGAGACAGAGTCCCCCTATAACCCCAGCTGGCCTGGAACTATGTTGACCAGGCACAAATTAAAATTTTAATGACATTGTAATGCTTCCTTGACTGATGTTGAACAATAATTCTTATCTAAACATCCCAGTCACAATTAGCATATAATGAGTGAATGAGCTACTTAACACAGCATTGTGAAGGACCAAAGATCCTTCAATCCAGCTATTCTAGCACATTCAACACAAGATGTGGACAATGACATCATTTCATTGGAGATGTCAGGGAAGAACAATTTTCAAAATGCTTTATGCAAATACTGGGACGTCATTTTATCAGCAAGTCACAGTCCTCGTTTGCTCTGCCTTTATGGAGCCAGGAATCATAAGAAATATTTGCACAGCATTTTCAGAAATTCATTTTATGTAATCAGCGCAACTCAGAAAGCAAGCCCAGAATTGCTACATTATTTCACATGGTGGGAAGCAGAGACTCAGAATGGGGAAGTGACTTGCCCAGAGTTAACAGAATGGTCAGTGGCACAGCTGGGCTCAAAGCTGAGTCTAATAACGGCTTCTCTTTCCATGGTACTCCCTACTTCTCCAAGTGAGGAAAGAGATGTCAGGGGTATGCTTGGGTGTTCCACAGGAGGGAGGGAGGGAGGGAGAGCAACAGAGAAATAGTGAAGAGGGCAACAACAGGTGATTCTTTAGTAGGAAGTGAGTCCAACCGCTCTCAATCTTTCCAAAGGCCCCTTAGATGGCAACAAGGATCACAAGTTACTCTGGTCCTGGATCTACAACCATCACATCAGAGAACTAAATATCCTTAAGAAATCTAACCATTTTCTCCCCTCAGAGGCTCTGACAGCTGAACTTCGCCCCTCCCACAGAGGCTGTGGCCCCCTCTTTAGTCTCATTAAATGCCTCGGGGACTTAAGAGTCCATAGGGCGTGAGGCAGTGAAGAGGGCTTGTGCTCGTGGAGCCGGCGAATCAGGTTGGGTGAAAAAGAGGGGGCGCCTGCGGCGGAGCTGTGGTTGGGGGTTGTGGGTTTTGTGGCTGAACTCGATGATGGGGTAGGAAACCAGGGTAGACGACAGTCAGGATGGAGCTCACATACCCAATGAGGGCTTGGGGACACGGAAGGACTGAAAGCGCTGCGGAAAGCCGGAGGAGGATGCTCAGCCGGGGGTCAGGGGCTGCGGGATGCTGGCGAGGCCGCTCTTGAGCCAGAGAGTGGATGCTCCCTAAGCCCCGCCCCCTCGGACCCTCGGCCTGAAGCCCCGCCCGCAGCGCCAAGAGCGCGCCTGGGGAGCCGGGAGGGGGACCGGCCAGGCGGGAGGGAGAGGTGAGGCTCGTGCGCGCGCCCCACAGGCTGCGAGTGCGCGAGTAGCGCGCTCCCGCCGCCCGCGTCGCCATCTTTTCCCCCTCCGTCTGTCTGTCTGCCTTTGCTTTGTCCGTCCGCCGCGCCGCCCCTCGCCGCGCCGCCACCGGCCCTGGCCGCAGCCGCCC